CATTCAGGTTAGAGGTGAGGGGTCCTCGCTGCCTGTGTGTGGATTCGTGGTAGACGCCATGTTAGTTTGCTAGGGCCGTGGTCACAAAGCACCACCAACTGGGTGGCTTAAACAGCAGAGATTTGTTCTCTCACGGTTCTGGAGGCCAGAAGCCTGAGATCAAGGTGCCGGCAGGGTTGGTTCTTCCTGGAGACTGAGGGATCTGCTCCCTGCCTCTCTCCTGGTTGCTGCAGTTTGCAGCCATCATTGGCACTACCTGGCCATAGATGCAGCACCTGGATCTCTGCCTTCATCTTCACGTGGCATCTCCCCAGGTGCCGTGCCCACAGTTCCCTTTTTATAAGGATGCCAGTCAGACTGGATTAGGGTGCACCCTAAAGACCTCATTTCAACTTTACCTCTGCACAGACCCTCTTTCTGAATAAGGTCAGCTTCTGAGGTAGCAAGGACAAGGATCTCCACATCCTTAACCGGAGGGGGGGGCACAATGCAGTCCCCGACGGATGTGCACATAAAGATTCCACGTAAGCTGCCCCTCCCGTTGCTGGGAGAGGGGAACTTTTCTTGCTCACTCCTACCCTCCTTTTGGAAGCTTTTGGGGTGACGAGGGTGGCCCCGGTCGAGAGGACAGCATGGCAGTGCAGCTGGAAGAGAGAAGGTGTAGCCATGCCGGGCTTTGTTGTTGTTGTTGTTGTTGTTGTTTCATGTTTAGAAAACTAAAGAAAGGGAAATCAATTACGGGGCCTACCTGAATTTTATTTCCTCACCAAAAACCAAATTACTCAGCAAACTTATCGCTGGCTGTTGCAGGCTTCGGTATTAAAGAAAACAATCAGGCGGGCAGGATTAATCTCTGACAGCTGCCTTATCTTTAACTTGCACCTTTGTTATTTTCTGATGAGCTTCTCCCTTTTTGCTGCCACGTTGTACCATACCTCACTGGTTCCTTTCATTTTATCATCAGGCAAGAGCGGAGGACCTTTCAGTTTATTAAAAAAACCTTTATTTGTGAAGAACAAAGAGGGGGGAAAAAGGCAAACAATGAGGTCAGACAATCTCCTTCCTGCCAGGAGTCACTCACCTGTTATTTAGAGTGTTATCAGTTAGGGGAGACTTGCATTGTGGAAAATGAGGCTGTGACAGGCCATTCGGTTACACACACACACACACAAACCTGACTGACATACATCAACCTCCACAAAAGGTCCTTGACTGGCGAAGAGGCAATATTTTCTTTTGTTTCTAAGCTTCTGCAAAAAAAAAAAAACCTAACAAACGTATTCCTCCCTCCACCGCCCTCCCCACTTTCTCCTTCAGAGCAGCCGTGTCTTCCTGTAGAGGATAAAGCCCTGGGCATTTTAGTGACCATATAACTATGTCCCGTGTGAGCTGGGAGCAACTTGATTGGCTGTCAGGGGAGCTCGGCTATCTCTTATGCGTCTTATTTGCTGTTTATTAATTTGGAGCTCAGTTTTTGGCACACGCTGCTGACTTCTATTTGGAAGGGCAGTTATGTGGCTGCACCTGCCACTCTGACAGGGCTTTGTGAATCAGAAAGAACATTGCAAATTCCCTGGAATCTCAGAAGCCTCAGAGAGGCTTCAACAAGAGGTTGAAGACTCCTGTGGTTTCTAATATTCTGCATCCTTGATCCATTTTACAGCAGAATTATGACCAGGTAAGGGCACATTGAAGTCTGACAACTGTATTTGCCACTAATTAGCAGCGTGGCCTTGAGCCAGTCACTTAAGCCTTGTTGAGGGTTGGAGAGGTGCTCTCTGAGGTCTCACGCGGATCTATGAGTCTATGACGTGAGTATTGATCTATTGTTCCACATCACAGAGAACAAGCCAAAGATGCTCAAGGTTCAGATTATACCTACTGCTTATGTCCTCCACCCAGGAGGCAAGGTGTATTCATTTTTTATTGCTGCTTAACAGGTTTCCACAGATTCTGACTCTGGTTTCTCTGGGTCAGAAGCCCAGGCGTGGGTTAGCGGGGTCCTCTGCTTGGGGTCTCACAGGCTGACATCAAGGTGTCGGCAGGGGCTGTGACCTCATCTGGGGCTTGGGACATCCTCCAAGCACTTGCAGGTTGTGGGCAGAATTCACCTCCTTGCAGACTGAGGCTGAGGTTCCTGTTTCCTCCCTGGCTCTCAGCAGGGCAGTTCTCTCAGCTCTGAGGCTGCCTGTACCACCTTGCCATGTGGCCCCAGAGGCAGTTCACATTGTGGTGTTCACCTTCTTCCGAGCCAGCAGGAGAATCTCTCTCTGAGGCTTCACCTTCTTTTAAAGCCCCCCCCACCCTGATTAGGTCAGGCCCACCCAGGACAATCCTCCTTTTGTACTGGGGTGACAGCCCATCGTGTTCCTTGGCTGCACTCATGCTCAAGGGGAGAGGATTCTACATGCACATCAGGAGGCGGGCATCGTGGGGGCCATCTTAGAATCCCACCTACCACCCAAAGTCTCCAAAATCTTTACTAACTTTTCTCTAGGATCCATTGCTTCCTATAACCAGTCTTAACATCTTTCTCCTTGTGTTTGGTGGCAGGTCCATTTTGGGTCAGGGCAGAACTCTTAACTTTTATATTTGCTCTGCTCACTCCACTAAAGAAATGGGAAATAAACACTATGGTTTGCTTTACAGCTCCTTGGAAAGACCTCGAGGGTACTACCGACCTCCAGGAGGACAGTAGGTGGGCCCACAGGAGTGGCTGTCATTTGGGTGGAAGAAGACATGCCCCCAGGCATAGCCAGGGATGTTGGTGGACCCCACAATCTTGGAAATCTGCTTCTGTGCACCTAACAGGTCTTAGGCAGTGACCTTGAGCTCTACTGCCTCCTCAATTTTTTCTGCCTCTGATTTCCTGTGTAACTGATCCCAATTTAGAAGCTCAAATTGGGCCTTCTGATTTTTTGACCTTGTTTCCTGTTGTTTTGCCTCCACTTTAATCCAGATCCTAACCTCTGAGGTTTTGACCTCCCCAGTAACCTTGCCCGGATTCTTGATATCTCCCCTGTTAGAAGCTGATTCTATCTTTGAGTCTGAGCTGGACCCTGAAGGCCCTATAATTGGCTTTGGCAACTCAGTGAGAGGAGCCCAATCCCTCGTCCTAAGAAAGGTCCTGTGGGCCCGTGTGACCCTCTGCTTGGCCGTACTGGGCTCTGATGTACGATCCTCATCCTTTGTCTCCTCTTCCCTGCACCCCACTCCCTCTCCCTCCTGAAGAATCTTGAGGAAGTGACTTTGAAAAGAGATGGAAAGATGCCAGCTTCTCAGCCTAACGTGCTTCTGTAAACTCTCGTGAACTTGCTCACAGCCTCTGGGCCAAAATCAAGAGTTATGTCCTCCCTCTGGGAACTGATGTCCGGGGCTTACCGAAAGCACGGGGCTCAGGATCTGCTGCCAGAGGTCTTTTCCAGCCCCGAGAGAGGAAGCTACTCTCTATCTTTAGTAAAATGTGTGTGCGCGCACATACATATACATACACACACACACACACAGTCAAAATCTTTTAATGAGATACCACTTCACACCTATTAGGGTAGTAATTATCAAAAAAGAAAAAACCAAAAAGAAATCCCAAGCAAAAGGGAACATGGCCAGTGTTGGGGAGGTGCAGACACAGTGGAGCTTCGCACCTTTCTGGTGGGAATGTAAAATGGTGCAGCTGCTGTGGGAAGTCAGGTGGTGGTTCCTCAAAAAGTTAAACATCGAATTACCGTATGACCCAGCAATTTCGCCCAAACGAATTGAAAGCAGGGGCTCAAACGGATACTTGTACTTCAATATTCATGGCCACCCACGTGTCCACCCGCAGGTGTATGGGTAAACAAAACGTGGTCTATACATACAATGGAATACCATTCAGCTATGAAAATGAAGGGAATTCTGACACACACTACAACATGGATGAACCTTAAGAACATTATGTTAAATGAAACAAGCTATGCATGAAGGACTAATATTGTATGAGGTACCTAGAGTAGTCAAACTCACGAGGGAGAAGGTGGAATGGTGGTAGCCGGGGACTTGGGAAGAGGGAACGGGGAGTTAGTGTTTAGTAGGTAGAGTTTCTGTTTGGGAAGATGAAAAAGTCCTGGAGCTGCATGGCAGTGATGGTTGTACAACACTGACAATGTGTCTAAATGCCTCTGAATTGTACCTTTTATGTATATTTTACCACAATAAAAATAAACCCCACATAGCCATATTTATGTGTGTGCTCTGAATGCTCACAATATGCAGATTACGGAGTATATTACAGAGATACAGAGTTCTTTTGGCAAAATGCCATATTTTAGTTCATGACACCATGCCAAGAGGAAAAAAGTCAACAGGAAAACAGCAGAGTGTGTACGTTCTTTCCAGCCAGGTGGCAACATGTGCCGTTGTCTTTTTTTTTTTTTTAAATACTTAATAATCAAGCACACAGGCAGCAAGCTAAGGGAGACCATGGTGCCTGGCGCTCTTATAACCAACTCTTTGAACATGGGGAAAGGTTATTTTGAGCACCAAGTATTGCCTAACCTGCTCTCCTCTTACAGAAGATGTTTAAGAGGATATAAATATGACATGGA